TAATCCCCTGGGGATAGATAGGGCTAGTGCTATTACGCTCTAACTGGGAACTGATAGGATCTTTTACTGAGGTCTATGACTGTGTCATTCAGTTTCTGATATAATAACAAGCCACTTTGCATTTATGTTAATATTGTTAGGAAAATTTACTTTCCATAAATTTTAGAAGTAATATTTACTATCAGTATGCCTTATAGGTGATAGCTGTCATTTGGACAATTTTATCGTAGTTTGAAAATTCATAGCAAAATAAGAATGCTATGGTATTTCCTTTGACTCTCTAAGACATGTAGCACATGTGTAATCATTCCCATTTTAACCTTATTTCACTTTATACTTTGGACTATGCCTTTGATAAAAGCTTTTGTGAACAAATTCTTAACTTTTGATAAAAATAAAAATGTGGGAAAGGAATTGGGATTAAAAAATATATGCCCCAACAAGAAGACAAGTTTGATTACTGAGATTGATCATTGACACATTTTGGCTCAAATTGAATCTTTCTTTGAGTTTCTCTATTGGGGATGTCAGAGCTGCTTTCTTGCTTCACAAGTGGAGATGCTTCATCCAGCAGGTGATTTCCCTGGACAGAGGAGGGGCCCAGGAGAGGGAGAGGCATGGTGAAAGAACAAAAGTAGGGTAATACTTTCTAGAAATGGGAAAGAAGATGATTAAAAGTAAAAACGAACTCTGAAGGTTGAAGTCCTCTGTGTGTGTGTGTGTGTGTGTATGAGAGAGAGAAAGAAATTTTTCAGCCAATGTCAGTTTTTCCAAAGAGGATAAAATATTTCTATATAAATATGTTAAAATTTGTATTTTACGAAGTTTCTATTTTCTAATTACCTGTGCAGTGCTAAAGGTTTGTCATGTGTTGGGGTGAGAGATGATGGGTACAAGTGAAATTCACCAGCCCAGAACATTCCAGGAATTGGCAGGTCAAGTGGCTCCCAGACTGGAGCCTCCTACCCCCAAAGCAAATTGAGATTAGTGGAGTAGTTGAATATGAAAAGTAGTCTGCTAATCAATCATCCTCTTTTTAAAACATTTTTTAAAAAGAGTTACTTATTTATTTGAGAGACAGTTACAGAGAGAGAGAGCGCTACCATCTGCTGGTTTACTCCCCAGATGGCCACAGTGGCCAAGGCTGGGTCAGGCCAAAGCGTAGCCTGGATCTCCATCTGAGTTTCTCTTGTGGGTACAGTGGCCCAAGCAGTTAGGCCATCCTCTGGTGCTTTCCCAGGCACATTAGCAGGGAGCTGGATCTGAAGTGGAGCAACCAGGACTGGAACTGCAGGCTGTATGGTATGCATGTGACTTAGTGCACTATGCCATGGTGTTGGCCCCCTCAGGTTCTCTTTAAAGCAGCATCCCTCATCTGCTCATCTCAGTTTTGCAAACTGACTAACCCAAACTACTTTTTTTTTTTTTAAAGATTTATTTGTTTACTTGAAAGTCAGGGTTACACAGAGAAGGAGAGGCAGAAATAGAGAAAGAGAGAGGGAGGGAGGGAGGTCTTCCATCCACTGATTCACTCCCCAGTTGGCCACAACAGCCAGAGCTGTGCTGATCCAAAGCCAGGAGCCAGGAACTTCTTCTGGATCTCCCATGTGGGTGCAGAGGCCCAAACACTTGTGCCATTTTCTGCTGCTTTCCCAGGCCACATCAGAGAGCTGGATCAGAAGTAGAGCAACAGGGTCTCGAACTGGTGCCCATATGGGATGCTGGCACTGCAGGTGGTGTCTTTACCCGCTAAGCCACAGTGCCAGCCCCACCCAAACTACTTTTATCTTTCATTTAGCAGTGTTTTAAAAAAGGAAATCGCTATTCTTCCTAGCATCAAATCCCCAGTTCTGAAGCAGGCACTTGGTCTGAACTCAGAAAGCAAAGTTTAATATTCTTTGACTCTTCTATCTTTGTTCTCATTCTAGCCAGATGCTATATGTTCATCTATTTATTTCCCGAGTTTTTAAAGCATCAGACACTTAAGTGGGATGCTCTGATCTCATTAGGCTATATTAGCCATCTTTTGACATTGCTGTTTACTGTGTTATCAGGCTCTGTGATAGATATATGCCCCCCAGTGAAGGTGATCTGGGTTCTTGTCTCACATTGAAGAAGAATTTCCACGTGGATAGGGACAGTGAACAAAAGCAAGATTTATTGTAGTGGGAAGCCTCCTGCTGCAGGAGTCAGGAAAAGAGGCTTCCAGGAGGGAGTTGCTCCAGGAAACTTGCCAGTGCTGGGTCTTTTCATACAAAAAAGTGGCTACCTAGATGTAACCCATCAGGGGAGAAACAGAATAACAGCTAACAATCAGAGGGCTGGGATAACAGCCAGTCAGAGGCAAGGAAAAAAAAAAAAACATCAGAGGAGTGGGGATTTGTAATCTTGTCTAACTTGCTCATGATAAAAAACCTAAATGTTGCTACAGGCAGCCTCTGGGAGGAGGCAAGCACCTTGTCCACTTTTAACCTGCTGTGCCACAACGCCAATAGCAGCCCCACTTTGTCCACTCTGTTACAGAGAGACTCTGTCCTTTTTCTCATTCCAACAGGGACCTGACCTAACTGCCAGTACATCTAACTCCTCACATTGCCATCCCAAACTATCAAAGGGGTGTGTTTGTGTAGGTGTTGGAGGGTTTGGAAGATGTGTATTCTAGAGCGGTTTGGGAAAAGACATACCAGCCCCCCAGTCAGAATGCATGTTATCATTTTAAAAGGCTTTCAGAGGTTCTCTTACATAGGTATTTTAATTTGACACCAAACCTGAGATAAGGATGCATTTTCCTTGTGGAATTCATTTTACCACCCTCTTCTCTGCTGGGTCTTTGAGTGAAGATTGCTGCACTGGTGGCAATGAGTCTAGACTTTTTTGCTCATCCCTTCAGAGCAGTCAAGGCATGTGGCTTGCCCTTTGGTGTCTAGTGTTGTACCTTATAAATAAAGGACTGAGAAACAGTGCTTGAGCACAAGTCCTCATAGCACACAGGCTGGGGTTATTTCTGTCTTTGGGCTATGTTAACCCAGTGAATTTAGATGGGCAGAATCCCCTTTCCTTATGATTTCTATGTGGCAAGCCATCTTTCCTGTATATTTAGACCAGACTACAGTTTTTCCAAATGTGTTTGATCAGTACCCTCTAAGGACTAAGTCACTCACTTCTAATTATAGGCATGTGTGTGATTTTGATACAGTGATAGATTATAGTCTGACACCTGTGCTCATTATAGTATGAAATACTGTATAGCTAACACCCATTTTCACGTTGTTCTATAAGAAGCTTTTTTATCTCTTTTTAGGAATGTGTTGTGACTTTTCTTTGTTTTGCAATGGCCACTGTCCAGGAGAAGCATTTAATTGCTGAGGTGGACCTAATGATTTATTAATAATGATTGTTAACCTCTGTCAATTCACATTTGAAAAAGGTTCACTGTAATTTAATAATCCATGTTAAATGCAAGAATCAAAGAAGATAGAGTGAAATAGAGCTTAAGAACTCTTAGAGTCATCCAACTGACCTAATTGACATTTATAGAACACTGTACCCAAGAAATACTTAGAAATATGCATTAGTGGCCTTGTATGTATGTATGTGAGCAGAGGAGAGGTGTAGGTAATTGTGTTAGTACTTACATCACCTTGAGGGTGTCTGGAAGACATCATAAAAGAGGACAATATAAATACCTGGAGCTTATGGTGGTTTAGTCCTATTTGAAGTCATTGCTATCAAGTGGTACTTAATGCCATATGAATTGGATTCAAGTCCAGAGACTTGCATGCAAGTATTTTTCTGAACCAATACTTTAATAATAAAGTTATTTACATAGTTATTATTTGGGTGACTGGTCTATTTTAAGGTCCTAAAAACACCAGAAGTAACTGGGAGAATGTTCTCATTAAACATTGAAAGAATTAGCACACTGCTGTCTGGAATTTTAAGTAGCCATTTTCTGTAATCTCTACTGTGTAGACTCGAGAAGAACTGAGGTGAAAAAGGCTAAAGTCCAGGGAAATGTATTACATCTATCTGGAATAATTGAATTAGCTTCTTTAATTGGGCCTCCTGTGCTTGCCTTTGACACTTAACCGTGATTTATTCTGGATTTGGATAGGATCTCCCTAGGAAATTTGGCAGTGATTTGTCAGCTATTGATGAGTCCCCGTGTTGTGGGTGGTAATGAAGACTTGAAGCCAGCTTGGAATGGCTAACAGCAGCCAGAAGCCTGGCTGGTGTGGTTCAGAGTCATCTCGTTCGCATACAGATTGGGAAAGACCTCAAAGATTCCGATGATGCCTGTAGCCACTACTCATAAGCCTTTGCTCAGGTTCACAGCTGAGGAGCTTAGCTTCTGTTCCATGGTTTACTTTTAATTTCTATGTGAATTTCTGTTTGAAAGGGTAGGAAAATGGGCTGGCTTCTCTTCCTAATGTTAGGTAAATGATTTCAGATACCTCAGTCCTTGCATTAACATTTTAATGTAAGAGGGAAGAAGTAAGGCTGGGAAGCAGCTCCCCAGCAAGCTACATCCTCAGAGACCTGATGCTGAGCTGTGGTTGAACTAACAGGGATGTGTGCAGTGACGTTTATGCTTGCATTGCTGGAGCGGGGGCAGCTAGAAATGTGGCTTCAGAGATGGGCTGGGAAGACTTAGGAGGATACCCACACAATGAAGACAGTGTTGCTACAGAGGTTAGCCAGCCCAAGGTTAGACTAACCCAGGGTTAGACTGGGCCACAGTCCCCTGAGGCTTTCATATCAAAGCAGGTTCCTAGGCCCCAGGCCAACCCTGCCAGAACCTAATCTTTGAGGGTGGGATGGGCAATCTAACAATCAAGTTTGAGAATTGACTATTGTTGCTACCTGGTATGGATGCTTGACATTCTTAGACTCTCCCTTACTTCCTGAATTTCAAACCCATGTTTAAAAAATACCCACTTTTCAATGTAAGTTGTCCTTGGTAGAAATATCTTTTTTTTCCCCTTTTTCTAACCTTCAAGTATATGAGCAACGTGGACTCGTGGTGCAAAGCCTGCGGTGAGGTCGACCTGCCCTCAGAGCTGCAGGACCTAGAAGATGCCATTCATCACCACCAGGGCATATACGAGCACATCACTCTCGCCTACTCAGAGGTATGGGGCTGTTCTACTTGAATTATAAGGAAGCTGTACTTCTGAGTCACAGCACTGGAAACTTGAAAAGTTTGTAGATAAAACTGCAATTTAACCATTTAACATTTAAACTCCCATGTGTGTATTGAATGAAGCAGAGGGGTGGGCAGCCAGCGTACTTTTCATGGCCCTGTGACATTTGTAGATTTCCTTCAGAATGCTTATATTTTCATCTGCAAAAATGAAATTCCAATCTTGTTGACATATCTTTAGGGGTCCTATATTTTGTGTGCTCTTCAGTCTAGTTGAATTCAGCTTATTCTTCCTGAATGGAACTTTTTAGGAAACAGAGGAAGTGTACTTTAGCCTCCTGGTCTGGATTGCAGGGAACACGCTGGTTTTTAAGCATGTTGCAGAAACCTCAGTGTAGCATTTTATTTATGATTTTAGGGTATGTTACATTACTTAATGCACCCCTGTTTTATTTTCTGCTACCTCCTCTATGCCAGGCCCAGCTGTCAGGACTTTGTGTCATAACTCACTTAATGCTCACAACTTGGAAGCACATCCTGTATGGTCTCTGCCATCACAAGTGAGGAAACCGAAGCTCAGAGATGAAGGGAGGTGTGCCAGGGCAGCAGTTGGCGGAGCAGGATGTGAGCCCCAGTGGGCAGCTCCACCCTTTCAGTCACTGCTCAGCTGCTTCTGTGCCATGCCAGTGGTAGCCATGGTGGTGACCACAGCTACAAATGAGTTGACAGTTGTCATTTCTGCCCATGTCATGTTCATGTGGCCCTGCAGACCAGTCTACCTCTATGGTAATGGTTACATTCCTGGAGGTGAGAAGGGGCTGGGCGGGAGTTCTGTGTGGAACTTTCCCCTGAAGTTTCCTTTTTTTCTCTTTTAATAGGAAGCATCTGTAACATTTCATGTTGATATGAGCAGTAACTATGAGACTGCAGTTAAGGGTACTTTTGTTTCTTTTTATTTTTTTTTTTTAAGATTTGTTTATTTATTTGAAAGGCAGAATTGGGGGTGGGATGGGGGAGAAATCGTCCATCCACTGGTTCATGCCCTAAATGGCCACAATTGCCAAGGCTGTATCAGACTGAAGCCAGGAGCCTGGAACTTCTTCCAGGAATTTCACATGGGTGGCAAGGGCCTAAGCACTTGGGCCATCCTCCGCTGCTTTCTGAGGCACCTTAGCAGGGAGCTGGAGCAGAAGTGGAGCAGCTGGGTCTTGAAGCAGTGCTCATATGGGATGCCAGCGTTGAGGTGGCAGCCTAACCCACTACACCACAACTCTGCCTCCAAGGGTACTTTTCAAAGCACCTAGCAGAGGGCTGGGTGTTAATAAAGGCATAATGTATTCGAATCTAAATCTCCTTGCCCTGAACCATCTCCACACTTGTCAAAGCTGTGGGGAGAATTAGCCATTTGCATTTCAGTCTGGCAGTTCCTGTCGAGCTTCACTGAGCATCTGTCACTCTGATGTTGTTGGCCCCGGGTCTCCTGACCCTCTGGTGTCCATGTATGTGCTACACTGCTGTATTTGTTCAGAACATGCTCAGTCCTTCCTCCCCATGTACATGGATATCTAATTATCTGTTCCCCAAGTCACTTTTTTTTGCCTGACAAGACTCCTTTTCTTCCAGCACTGTTTTACATAGCTTATGGAATTTAGAAGGTTCTTGATTTTGCATCTACTGTTTCTTAACTAATTTGGTTATCTAGTTTATTAGAAACTGTTGAAGTGATAGCCTTTTCCATTGTAGCCTGAAATGGAACAGATTTGTAATATTTTTTTATCACATTGATTCACGATGACTATGTGATCCTTAAGTTCCTTCTCCTAGTGCACCCTCTCTTTGCATTGTCCAATTTGACATAATATGAAAAGTGAACAACCTTATTATTTTCTCAGGTAATGGGGCCTTCACTCATCTACTTACCGAATCCTTTTCTCCGGGGCTGCTTTTTGCACATCCTTGCCAGGCCAAGAAGGGACTGAGTAGCCTTTATTCACAAGGTTATTGGCAAGAACTGGATTACAGTTCCTGTGGGACCAACCGAGAAAATGCTTGACTTACATTGGAATTACCTTGACCTGACTGGTGTCATCTCAGACCCTGCTGGCCTGTCCAGCCTGCTGGTGGACCTTGGCACTTCTGACTAAGCACATAATCTCTGATTATCCACTGCATTCTGTAAAGATGAGCATTTTGATGTGGGAACTTATGTTTACCTATGGTATAGCTGCGCTTAATTTACATTGATATTAATAATTGAAAGTAACTTGATGAGAAGTAACCACCTCCTAGGCTGAAATCTTTGACCACCAATTTTTAGCCTAAGGACTGAGCCATACACCCTAGGAGATAATAATTTGAACTGGATGAATTGAAATGATTTTCTGTAGAACATAATTAATTTCTTGCCTTTTAAATTACTTTAATTTTTAAATAGTTGCAGACCTACAGAAAAGTGATAAAATAGTACAGGAAACTCTCACATTCCTTTACCAGAATTTCTGAATTTTTAACGCTTTTCATGTTTGCTTCATCCTCTGTCCTACCCACAAGATCCCTTTCATATCCCCACAACTGCTCCAACAGGACCCTTTCCTGCTCATGGATGCTGTCCAGCACCTTGCATTACAGTTTGTCAACATATCTTGCCAGTCTCCTTCCAACCAGGACATTCGTAGTCTTTCCTCATCTGACCCCTCACAGCCTTCATCTCCACTGAGGATTTTTTCCCATCAGCTACCACACAGACTGCTGGAGAGGATCACCTCCTCCTATCATTCCTTCTTTACATGCATTTGGTGGCTTTCCTCCATAAAGAGTTTTATTTCTTTTCTCCCTTATTTGTTTATTACTGTATAGATTATGAAATCTTACCATATTCATTGGGATTATTTACTGAGACTCTAATTTGATGCCTGTGCTCTTGATATGTCCTTACCATCTTTTAGGTGCTGCTTTACCTTCTGATGTAACAAGATTGTCCAGGCTCAGCTGGTACTATTGCCCACTCCTGGGATCAGCTGTCTCACAGTGAGATGGTTCCTTGCAGTGCAGTATGGCATTCACAAATTGAGTCCTGGGTGCTCAGAATGTATTGTTTGCTTGTGAAGTGTCAATGCCTCTAGGCTCTCTAAGCAGAGTCAGGAAGCATTTATATGGATGTGTACCCACCCACCCATCTACCTGTCTGCCCACTGCATCTGCCCACCCAGTGATCCATTCTTCTAGTTATATATCCATCCATCGATCCACCCACACATTGGCCTACTTACCCATCCATCCATCCATCCACACATCCATCCTTGTACATACACACCTGCTGTATCTGTCTCAACAAATTTTTTAAAAAGATTTTATTTATTTGAGAGGTAGTTGCATCCTTGTACATACACACCTGCTGTATCTGTCTCTACAAATTTTTTTAAAAGATTTTATTTATTTATTTGAGAGGTAGAGTTACAGACAGTGAGAGAGAGAGAGACAAAGAGAAAGGGCTTCCATCCACTGATTCACTCCCCAAATGGTTCCAGCAGCTGGAGCTGTGCCTATCCAAAGCCAGGAACCAGGAGCTTCTTGCGGGTCTCCCATGCAGATGCAGGGACCCAAGTGTCTGGGCCATCTTCTGCTTTCCCAGGCCATAGCAGAGAGCTGGATTGGAAGAGAAGCTGCTGGGACTAGAACCTGCACCCACATGGGATTCCGGTGCCGCAGCCAGAAGATTAACCTACTGAGCCACAGCGCCACCCCCTATACATATTTTTAAAACATACGTGTTCATATTGGTTCTTCTATTTATTCCAGTATCTCTGGCATTTCCAATGTTTCATTTCCATGTTTATAAATCCTTTCTCAGACAACAAAAAGCTTGGCTTCCTTTGTCTGAACTTCCTTGCGCAATAGGCAGATTTTGCCGTCTTCCAACCATTCTGTCTGGTTCTTCTGCCCCTCAGGCCTCTCCTTCTCATTTTTTCAAGCCAGGAGAGGAGCTCGGGAGAGAAGACAGGAGGGAAAGACTGCTTTGATTTTCTAATTTTTTTTTCTTTCCGTAAACCAGTGTTTTTCTTTCTTTCTTTCTTTCTTTTTTTAAAGATTTATTTATTTATTTGAAAGAGTTATATAGAGTGGTAGAGAGAAAGAGAGAGAAAGAGGTCTTCCATCTGCTGGTTCACTCCCCAAATGGTCGCAACAGCCAGAGCTGAGCCGATCTGAAGCCAGGAGCCAAGAGCTTCCTTTGGGTCTCCCATGTGGGTGCAGGGGCCCAACGACTTAGGCCATCTTCCACTGCTTTCCCAGGACATAGCAGAGAGCTGGATAGGAAGTGAACTTGAACTGCTGCCAATATGGGATGCCAGCACTGCAGGCTGGGGCTGTACCCCACTGTGCCACAGCGCCGGGCCCATGCATGTTTTTCGAACTTGAGTGTGCCAGTTGAAAATACCCTTAGCCCTAGAGACATTGCATCTCCATTTTCAGCAGCTTCCCTAGCAGCCCAGGGACTGTGTGTGCTGCAGGTACTTACCAAGCACACACGGAGAAACTCCTATCCTGTTTCTGAAGAGTGTGGCCAGCGGAAGTCTTGTTCATCCCCCAGATGCTGAGCACTGCTGTGCTGTGGACCTCATTGTGGATGCAGGCTCAATTTGGGGGACTAGAATCTAAACAGGTCTTGCTCTTCCTTTCCCTGCCTTCTTCCTTCCCCTTCCTTCCCTTTCCACCCTTGCTTGCCTTTTTCCGCAGTTCTTTTTCTGTGAACCATGTCTATAGTTCCTGTTCTCTGTCGACATACATTTGCTGTGGGAGATCTGCCCAGCATTTTGTTTTTCAAGACACATACACCTGCCTTACTATTTTAATTAGACCTGTTCTGCGTTGCTGCTTTTGGTGTTTTAGCAACAGGCACATACCTGTGCGTTGTAAACGTGTGCTTGCTTCAGCTTGCCAGGTTTGGGGCCAACACTGTAGTTCACAGGAGCATGACGCTATGTGCAGATG